ACATGTAGGTAGACTAGCTCAGGCAGGTAGGTAGCCTAGCCCATGCAGGTAGGTAGACTGGCTCATGCAGGTAGGTAGACTGACTCATTCAGGTAGGTAGACTAGCTCATGTAGGTAGGCAGACTGGCTTATGTATGTAGGTAGACTGGCTCATGTAGGTGGGTAGACTGGCTCATGCAGGTAGGTAGACTAGCTCATGCAGGTAGGTAGACTGGCTCGTGCAGGTGGGTAGACTGGCACATGTAGGTAGGTAGACTGGCTCATGTAGGTAGGTAGACTGGCTCATGCATGTAGAACAGGAACAACTTTATAGCGAGTGTTCAAATCCCTGTCGCGTAGGAAACAGGTTTGTTTATTCCTGAAGTCATACGTAGACCGACGAGGACTGATCGTTCAGGTGGTGTGCAAGTGATTTTGTGTGCTGTCCGCATGGGACGTGGCTGATGTGTGCAGCGCGTGACGTTCTTGAATCGGATGTCAGTGGAGTTAAGTGTAACAAGATAGCCTTGAACACATGCTCAGAGAAACCCGTCTCCAAGTTATATGTATAGACTGATTTAGTGGTGTATTCACGCTGACAGTTAGATTGAGCATGAATCACTCCAAACGTACCCCATTCATCTCCTATGCTAAGGTGTCTGATACCATCGGAAAGCAGCGAAAGGCACCGTCCGTCGTCTGTACTACTCATCTGCACCGATGACTCATCACCTAATGTAGTTATACAAAAGAGTATATACTTGTATTCGAAAATACTTGATCGGCTGAAAATAAGCATACTATTATTATCATTTTTGCATGGTGTGGCTTTGGCTGTCACCATCCACAACAAATGTAGTTCAACCGAATTTATTCCTGCGTGTGTATCTGTGCTTGGCATATGTATCCGCATATAACCTCTACCGTCGCTTCCCACATACGCCTCCCAGGGCTGGACGTTCAGTTACGATACTGGCACGTGGACTGCTGATCGGGTAGAGGTGAGTGACGTGTGCGTGTGTGTACTCAAGCCTAGATAGCCAGGGTTGGATAAAGTGCTCTGTGTGCTTTGTGAGTGCCTGTGGAACCCTCCACAATACACTCGAAACAGGCGATGCGCTGGAGGACAATGTGACAACAGGCGATCCACTGTCGCACTATGTACCCTAAGTCCTAAATCTTCAACCCTTAATTATCTGAGTACGCACCATACACCTTACACGCGAGTCGTGGGGAATGTGACCAGACCTATGTTGTGAGGCAAGTGTGTTTATCCAAGCATACCTTATGACCGCACATTCACCATGGAGTGGCTCTCGGTTTCATATCCTCTTCATTCAGTTAACTTGCACATTATATCATCACGTTAAGTCTATTTTGCACATCAACTCATCACCTGGCGACAACCACGGAATTCGCAGGCGTATCTGTCGGGTATGGACGCAACAGATATGACCGTCCTGGACCTGTACAGTGAGACTGTTCCTGTGTGGAGGCGGTTGAGGAACTACTTTGGCAAACCGTTCATCTGGAACATGCTGCACAATTTCGGGGGCACAACAGGTACACACACACCAACCGACAGACACAGTACACTGCAGTTTAACGCGTGTTCGCTTAGATGATTCTACAGTCAGTCGCATAGTCGATGTAAAGTCGTACCACTAACACGCCCACTATCAAGCACGCTTTCCTATAACGGGTGTGGGATCAGTACACCAAGCACACGCATACAGAATACGCGCATGGGCATGGTGCTTACACACATCCACCCTCTACGTCTTAAATCTCAAACAGACCTAGAGATGTTGACTAACCAGTGCTACTTAAGCAACCAGTGCATGTGTCAGGGACTAAACATCTCAAAAATCAAACAGACCTAGAGACGTTGATTAACCAGTGCTACTTTTGCAACCAGTGCATGTGTCAGGGACTAAACATCTCAAATCTCAAACAGACCTAGAGACGTTGACTACCCAGTGCTACTTAAGCAACCAGTGCATCTGTTAGGGACTAAGTTCGCCCGTGGGTATTGTTTTTTAAGGCTGCTCCATCTCTAAGTGAGTCGTATCGAATATGCCACAGTAGCGCCACCAATCGCGCATTGCCTTTGGGACTGCTTTCTATCGGATGGGTATTGTTTTGGGACTGCCTTCTATGGGGTGGGTATTGTTTTGTAGGGCTGTTCTATCTCTAAGTACATTTTCCACCCACCCCCCCCCCCCCCAGTGTGGCTGGGTCAATCGCGGTCGTTTTTACTTCATCAAGGCGTTTAACTCGAAGCGCCTCACACATAGTCGTACCAACCCCCATAGAAGCAAGCAGCACGTGCATAGGTTGTCACCCCAAGCCCCAAAGCTAAGCTAACATAGACGTAGAAGCATGTTGACTCCACTGCCGTACCAACGCATGTTCACTCGTTGTATATCCACCCAACCTCAATTGAATTACCAAAACCTACAATGGTGTTTTTAAGCTTAACCTGAGCCCGAATGTAGGGCAGTACTTCCACTGGGATACAGTTGGGGTGAGCCACATTACAAACCCATACAGATTACTCACGGAAGCGTATAGTTCATTCGCACTTGCATACACTGCAGTAAATGCACAATAGCTAGCTAAGCCCACGTCAACTATGAATCCATGCTATGCTTATCCATCAGATCTGAAAGGGATGTTGTTCACTGCACTCTCATGCACAATAGTTAACTAAACCCGGCCGACCTGTCAATCCATGCTATGCTTATCCATCAGATCTGAAAGGGATATTAATCACTGCACTCTCATGCACAATAGTTAACTAAGCCCAAGCGAACTATCAATCCATGCTATACTTATCCATCAGATCTGAAAGGGATATTGGTTACTGCACTCTCATGCACAATAGTTAACTAAGCCCAAGCGAACTATCAATCCATGCTATGCTTATCAATCACATCTGAAAGGGATGTTGACCACTGTACTCTCATGCACAATAGTTAACTAGCCCAACCGACCTATCAATCCATCCTATGCTTATCCATCAGATCTGAAAGGGATGTTGACCACTGTACTCTCTAGTCCTGCTGAAGCCCTCCACACTGCCGGGCCGTTGATGGTGGGAGTGGGTGTCACACCCGAGGGTCTGAACCAGGTACGAAATCTGAGGTTCATGTTGTCTGTGTAATGATATATCAGGGATCTCCGTTTTTGAGTGCTAGATACGATACAAGTATGTGTACTGTGGTTCGTATGGGGTTTGTGGGTTCTGTTTAGGTCAATGGTGTGTAGCAGTTAGACACAGTTACGAGGGCCTGTCATGCTTTTGTTCGCTGAAGGTGAATGCTTGAGTACGCATCTACCCTAGTAAGGGGCAGAGGGCTAATTATGCTCAAAACAAAGTGGTTCTCAGAACAAAGTAGTTGCATAAGCTTAAAATATATATATATATATATATATATATATATATGTGTGTGTTGTGTGTGTGTGTGTGTGTGTATA